ATAGTCTATAAAACTAAGCGATTATTTGTATGAATTTTGAATAATATGGATTTATGTTTTTTTGTTTACAGCATTTAAGTACAAAGCCAAAATTTGGTTTACTTTTTGATATTGATGGCGTCATAATACGTGGAAAACAAATACTACCACCAGTAAAAGAGTCTTTCAAACGGCTTCAAGGGGACAATGGAAAATTTCGGGTTCCTACATTATTTGTCACCAACAGTGGAAATTCATTGCGCAAACAGAAGGCAGCAGAACTATCAAAATGGATAGACATTAAAGTCACAGAATCGCAAGTTGTTCTAGCTCACTCACCATTGCAGATGTTTGATTATCTTCACAATAAACAAGTTCTCATATCGGGTCAAGGTCCAATAACAGATATAGCTCGAGAATTGGGTTTCAAAAAGACGACAACTATAGAGGAATTAGTAAAAAACTTTCCATGTCTGGATTATATAAATGTGAAGAAAAGAAATCCAATCTGTGGCCCGGTTGATCCAAATTTCCCGCAAATTGAGGGGCTTTTACTCTTAAGTGAACCGATAAATTGGGAAACATCATTGCAATTAATGGTAGATCTTTTAGTTACCAATGGGATGCCCACAGGATTGCCTGCTGTTATTCCATACCCGCACATTCCAGTGTTGGCATGCAACATGGATTTGCTATGGGCATCAGAAGCACCAATTCCTCGATATGGTCATGGTGCTTTCTTATTGTGTCTTGAAAACTTGTACAAGAAAGTTACAGGCAAAAACATGACGTATGCTGCTCTAGTCGGAAAACCTAGTGAGATTACATATTATCATGCCAATCAAATGCTCGTTAATCATGCTAGAAGTATTGGCATTGATAATATCGACACAATTTATGCTATTGGGTATGTAAAGAATAAAAGCGTTAAATATATATTCATTTATTTTGTATAATGTAATATGAAATAATTTGCGTGTGATTTTTACAGAGACAATATCAATACTGATATTTTTGGCGCAAATCTATATGATAAGTATTTATCTCACTACGAATCTGGAGAGGGTACCAAGTCTCGAAGTCTAGAGAAACTTCTTGGGAAAAACATGAAGGAGCCTAACGCAAAGGCATGCATTAGTATTTTAGTCGAGACCGGCGTGCATCAGCGTGATTCCAAGTTTACACCTGAACACAGTCCTAGAGATTTTTTGCCGGTTGACGATGGCCTATGTAAACCGGCATTTATCGTAAAGGACGTGGGACAAGCTATTAATCTTACTTTTAAAGAAGAAAAGTTTGAATGATTTAGCGCATAATAGATAACTTTGGGATGTTTACATCCTTATATCATAAAAGAGAAAAAGAGAGTGTGTGACTGAAAGAGAGAGAGAGAGAAAAAGAGAAAGGAAATATGCAAGATAATATGAGTATTATAGCAAATAATCCTTTAGAAAATGTTAATCTTCATCATAGACAATGTTTCGCAATAGAGAAACAGAGAATAGCATAGGAGAGGCTATAATACATTATGAGAATATATATATTTAATTTACTCCCTTTTCAATCTTTCTGATTCTTTAAAACCTGCCTACTTAATGAAAAAACAAACAGCAGGCTAATTCAGCAAATTATATCAATTACAGAAAGGATTACACTCAGAAGCGAAATAAATTCAGATTAATTTATATTGTAGATAGAAAAAAAAGATATTGCCATATTGTAAATATTGAGACGATAAATACATATACATATAAAAGGTTTTTAAGAATTCTACTATGTTTACAACTCAAATAACAGTTACTGGTTACGAAAATAATAGTTTGTTGTTGGCAACACGGTCCGGTACACGCTTCGGACATGATTTTAGTTATTTAATGCTGAAATTTTATTAAATGATCCGATATACTGTACGTAAGTAATATATAATACGCGTTATTATAAACAATTATCACATTGTACGTAAATAATATAATACGCGTTATTAACAATTATATCATAGTTGCATAGTAAACTGAGTTGAATGTGTTTTGTCCGCGAAGTGCACTATGCTCTATGCCTCGTTTAGTCGAAAGCAATGCAAGATATACAAAGTGATATGTGTAACGCTCCTTAGTAAATAAATAGATTTTCAATTCGATCCTAAAATTCGCAGTCAATATACACTGCGAGCACTATACAAAAGTATAATCTATATTAAAAATTATATAGATTATATATTTCTAATATGTAATATGTATATATAAGTAT